CGCACGCACGCACGCACGCACGCACGCACGCACGCACACCCCACACACACACACACACACACACACACACACACACACACACACACACACACAGACACACACACACACACACACACACACACACACACACACACACACACACACACACACACACACACACACACACACACACACACACACACACACACACACACACAGTCTCCTAATGAGGCCTGTCTGATAATGGAGGTAATCAGTGCAGCCTATCTGGCCTCTGCCCCTGCTGCCCTGCTGCCAGCCTTGCTTTGGCTTATTTATACACGCCTGGTCTATCAGCACTGCCTCTATGTTTGGTGGGCCTTCAGTGTCCCAGAATAGAAATAATTAGGACAGGGCGGGAAAAGAGGAAAAGTGAAAACGTGTCTGAATGTGCATATTCTCATAACAGACCCCCGCCCCATCCTCTGCCAATCTCTCCACCCATCCCTGTACACTGTCTCCCCTCTGTATTGTTTTCCGGAGACAGAGGCAGCAGCAGGCTGGCGGAGTGTGTGTGTGTGTGTGTGTGTGTGTGTGTGTGTGTGTGTGTGTGTGTGTGTGTGTGTGTGTGTGGTCTACTTTGGGTGGCGATCCACCGGTTAAGTCAGGCGATACTAAGTGATCAAGTTTTCAGGATCACCACACACACTGCACTGACCCCTATCTCTGATCTCTCTGTCTCTGTGCCTCTCTTTAAACCCAAACACATTGATTTAATACAGATAGGAGTATTGGATAAACTGATATTCAGCATTATTATTTCAATTTAGACTGCAAATTAACTTTTTGTTTTATCATTTATGCTATTTATTATGTAGAAATATAAATAGTTGCTTGATTTCCTCGGTTTAATGGCTTTTATAGTGTATTTAAGTAGTTTGAATTCCATACTTATAGCACCATTTTCATTATTTTGCATGTTTTCATAGACTAATAAAACATTTCTTTAAGGAAATGTTGTTACTGTTTGAGTATTAGTTTAGTACAAAAGATCCACTTAATATTTTTCTATCTGCCAAATATAAATGACAGATATTAAGTCATTTTTGTTTATTTTCCTGACTCTTTAACTCAAAGACAAGTTCATGTGGTAAAAAACTAAACTTTGAATGCAGCAGACATCTGAAACCAGCCTCAGGGTAATGTATATTTCCAAGACAAGCCTGTACACATCCAGCTACAACATCCTAAACAATGAGCTTATCTCACTCCCATCTCCCCTGCTGAGAAAATGGGCGAGGGCGTGGGACAGTGCATGTATGTGTATGTATGCGTGTGCCGAGGCATGTTGTCAGCACTCTCTTACAAGTAGCTTCAGAGCTTTAACACTAATGATGACAACGCGACAAGGCGGCAGATGTAATTGGCTTGTCTGTAGTCAAACAGTCACACACACACTCACTTAGCCTAAACAGCGCCTGATGCCAGTCCCATAATAAAAACCCACCCTAGATTCATGGCTACAAATACCGTGCACGCTGAACAGCAGCCCAGAAGACGCAGAGCTGCAACCATCACCGTTTTCAGGACAGAACTCCACAGAGAAAACAGAGGATTCAAGGTGAGCTTGTTGCTTCTTCTAACTTTAAATTACATTTGTGTTTTCTGTTACTGACTCTTCCTACCTTACTCTGTTCAGATGCTTTACTCCAGGTGTGTGCTGTCTTTCCTGGCTCTCTACATGATGCCCGAGGCGTCTCCTTCTGTATTGCCAAGCAGATTCAGACACAAAAGGGTAAGGTTTTCACAACATCCTCGAGCTTTTATGGACAACTAAAATACCTGAAAAGTTTAATAATCTGATTTTCTCTCTAAGGAAGTCGATTGGATGGACCAAGAGCTCTTCCCTCACCCCCATGGTCGCTCAGAGCAGGGAGACCTCTCAGTGGGAGACGCTGCTGTGGAGATGGACAGGGGAGTGGAGAGCCGCCACCACCATCATCATCATCCAGAGACGTTCCTCGCCCCAACAGAGAACCTTACTCCTCAACGCCAGGGACAGACACAGTTTCAGCGTAAAGCCAATGAAAAGAGGTGAGGAATGAGAGCCAACTTCTACCATAGTTTGAATTGATTTAAACTTGTGTGAAGTAGTTTTGTTGTGACAGATGATTAAATGTACGCTTATAGTGCTTTACAAAGGGTGGCTGGAAGTGTAATAAAATTGCAAGTTGTTTAAATAACTTTGTTTATGTTAACCATCACATTTATCTGAGAGAATGAGTAATTCTTAATTTTTTCTAGTGACAAATGCATATTTTATTTTAATTCGGTACATTTTTATTAGGAATTAAAATAATAAATTGTATTGTTAGTCACCGTGCATCACAGAAATTGGACAGGATTGACTATATATAGTATACATTTGTACTTTAACCTCTTATTAATGATATTAGATACATATTTGAAATTGTATTTTCTTCTTTGTGTACCTTTATTGGACATTTTATGTTTATATACGAATATCACCAATTTCCTCGGGATTAATAACGTTTTCTGATTCTGATTTACAGGAGGAAGGTTGCTCCTCTGGACTCCATCGGCAGCTTTCAAATGGCCAGTTTCCAAAACAGAAAGGTGAGTTACAAGATAACAAATACTGTGGGAAAATTGTTCATAAAGTAACTACATTAGAAGCTATACTTGGAAAAAAATGACAGTGTGTTTAGTAATGCTAATGCTACAAGATAGTTTCAATGAGCACTAATTATCTACGTCAGTTATTAAATGTTGTAATTGTCATTAGAGAATCAAGGTATTTTTCCCTTTCCATGTCTCGGATCGAAATTTCTTTTTCATCATTTGCTTAAAGAAACCTTTTTATTGGCATGGCTAGCCAAGGTTTTCACACCATTAGCTTGATAAGCTTCTGATTTATAGCACTGCTGATTCTAATTAGGTGAACAATTGAGCATTTGTGTTTCTTTTACAGGATGATCCCTGAAATCTCCTGGGAAAAATACAGGGAGTGAAGCGCAACTCCAATTCCATATTTATTCTGCATTATTTAACTCACTGCCGTACTAACCAGTGAGATGCCTGTTGACCATCTCCCTCTAGTGGTAGAATATGCAAACATGACAAACACTGCTGTGTGCAAAGATCTAATTAAATGTGACAAAATAACTGTTAGGAAAGTCTTTGTTGTATGTGTCCTTTTAATAAAAATGATTTGAAATATCACTTTTATGCTCCCAAAGACTTTTATTTTTCAAGCTACAATTAAAGAAAACAATATCAGACTGCAGAAAATATAGATTTTGCTTGGGTATTTTCTCTCTTCACTTTCACATATGTACAGTTGTCAAAGAACAGGATATGTACACAGAATTTGAAGTTGTAGAGAGAGTGCAACTGCTACTGGAGACTTACCAAGACTCTCCCACCAACAAAAGAAAAAGCACATGGTAAAAACCAAACAACATAAACCATCGCCGCAACCTCTGCGGCGCCAACTTATTTTCTGTACACTACAACTTTGTTCTCGATGTGAGACAATCTTATGTCCATTCTCTGATGTGGGGCGCATCTCTAATCCCGCTTCTCAGAAAGCTAAGAAATAAACAAATCACATGAAACAAAAACAATATTTTACAACCATTCATAAATGAGCCTCATAGCCACTTTGATAGTGAAAGGACTGCCAAACCACTCGTCTTACAGCAACGTTACGCCCTCATTTCATTTTAAACATGAGAAACTAAAAACCACACATGAAACAAAGACATCAAAAATTAACAGCTTTCAATGTATATGTTGTTCATGGTAAATGGCTATCATTGATTAACAAGCCAGACAGGGAGAAACATTAAGCGCTTAATAATGGATGTACACAGCGACATGCCAAGTACAGATTTAAACCAGCCGTAGCTTATCATATCCCAAATACTACCCATACACGCAGTGGATTGATATTTGGGAATGTATTTAAAAAAGTGCACTGCCGAGAGAATTGTCTATGTGCAATTTGAAATGCAATTGCAGATTCTATGAATTCAAAGGTTAGACTTATTCTAGAGGAGTGACATCTCTATATTTAAAGTTCAGTGATCATCACTGACAACCGAAACAAAAATGCAAACTCGATAAATCGCCAAAATACGATCAAAAATAGAATGAGCTGCCCGCCTATCATTATGACATACTTCTAAACAAATAACAGGGTTGACGTTTCCCAACTCTTACGTTTAAAATGTTCTCAATGTGTAAAACTTTGCATTGATTTGAAGTTGAAGTTATCAACCTGAAACACTTAAGGAAAATTCCACTGATTTGTCTAAATCCTCAAGAAATAATTTAAGTCGAAATGCACCTTCAGTTAATATGAGAACAAGTGTTTATGTGCACATCACAAGCACAGTATACAACAATAAAGCCAATTAATTAGTAACAAATAAATGATTCTCCACTGTCACTGTTATCTTCCGTCCAGTTCTTCACATTAGCCACAAAAAAAAAACGTAAGAAAAAAAAAAAAACAGAAACCGTGAAGGATAAATAAGAATGGTTGTGATTGTCAAGATAAATCCTACAAACTGACAATACAGTTGCCATCCAGGTTATGATTTAGGCTGTTTTGGCTGTAGGCATCGAAGAAAACACGAGTCAAGAGGAAAGCAAAAACAGGGGTGGGGTAGCTCCTCGTCCCTCCCGTCCTCTCCATGCCTACGGGTCCTTTTTGTTTCCAGACCGCCGCACGTCCCTGCACTTGTGGCAGTAAAAGATGTCCGGAACGTTGGACTTCTTGATCTTCGCACACGACAGATGCACCCAAATGCCGCACTGGTTGCACTCGATCATCGGCCGTCCTGCGAATGGCTTCCCACAGTAACAGGTGATCAAGTCCCACGAATCATCGCCTGTGTTGACGAAGAGAACAGAGGTATAGGATATCATTATGGTGGCATGTTTGGAAATAATACTCAACTGCTATTGTTTATTATATGATTACCAATACTGGAGGGATTGAGAAATATATTCAAATGAGCAGTTTGTGATTTTTCCTTGACCACAAACTGCTAAATCTTTTTAGGACCAAACACATGTGTTTTGTTAAGCTGGGATATCTCTGGCGCTCCACAAAAAAAAAAAAAAAAAAGGTATTACAACACATATTTAGCTTTTTACAAATATTGTGATTGCTGCGATTTAGATATACTAGTCCATATTGTAGATTTCAATAAAATATTATGCAGCCCTTAAAATTATAGCTGTTCAAATGTCTTCAATCAGAGTTTATTTAGGACAGAAGCCCTTTTAGAATTCATTGTTTGCTTCACATACCTGACTCCACCATAATGTCTTCGTCAGCGATCCAGGTCTCCCCCTCACTGGAGCTCATCTCTGCTTCCTGGAGGGCCTCCTCCTGCTGCAGCTTCCCCAGGCCCTGCATGCTGAGGGTGGAGCCCACGTGCTCCGTCAGCTCGTCAGTGGCTGGTCGTACCTCCGTATGCGTGTGCCGTGCCTCAGAGTCTGTCTCGCTTTGAGTCGCGGAAGTTTTGAGCTTCTTAGGCTTCGGCTGTTTAGAGTTTTTGCTGCGTTTAATGCGTGCCCTTTTCTCGCCTTCACTGCTGCCGCTATCAGCCCCCGGCATGGCAGAACCAAGCGAGAGCTTTTTCAGCTTTTTGTCCTTCTTGCGATCGGCCTTAGAACTGGCCTGGCTCTCGTACAGAGAGTCTTTAAGGCGCATCTTGTCCAGCAGAGTGCTGTCAGAGTGCATGCGGCGAATACTTTTTCCCTTGTTTGCTCGAGCTTTGCGAACAAATGTGTGGATGGTGTGGATGTCTGAGCTTCCATCTGCCCATGTGTTGCCGGTGGAGCTGCTTCCTCCACCACCTCCATCTGCTGATAACCCCGAACTGTGAGCAGAGCTGGAAGATGTTGGAGACCAGGAACTTTCCTTCGAGACAACAAGAAAGAAAGTTTTGGAATATTTTCACAATCTGTAGTAGCAGTCATTTCTATAATCAACAGTGACATTCAAAGCAGCTTACCTCTTTTGGACTGGGGATGTAACCAGCATACGCCAGGACAAAGCTGCAAAACTTATTGAAGTCCTCAACAGTCCTCTTTTTCCTCTCGGGGGGCTAAAGAAAGGAAATGCATTTGTTTAGCAAAGTAAAGACAATATAAACAAAAAGCGACTAGAAGTATAACAGAGTGCATTTAAAGAAACTATGCAAAGTACTCACCAAAGTTTCCGTTTTGCACGACAACAGTGAATCTGGTGGAAAAGAAAGGACAATGCTGTAAGTCAAAAGTGAACCATTGTTGATTCCCTTGTTATTTTTGTACAGACACAGCTTATACACAGCATTACCAAGCACCTTGTTGTCTGGGAGTATGATGGACACATGGGGACCAACGATAGCATTAGCTTGCTAACACGGCTCAATTACTTAATCAGGGTTATTAGTGATGAGCTGTTTTAGGAGCCGTGTTTGTTTCGTTACGTTCAATTGACCAACAGGGTTTAAAGATAACCGTTTGAGCGCAAAATAAGCAGAACGGTCATCGAGTGTTAACGCTTTTTGACTGAGTCTGCCAACAACTGCAACCGGTGTCACTTGACCACCATCTGAACTTTATCCTAACTCTTTATGATCCGGAGTCAGTTACCATTATTTGTTTATCGATTTATGATTACCGCTTAGACAAATGGTTGCCTTTGAAGAAGGTTGGCTTACAAAGCTCATTTTGTTGGCTGCCAGGCTTTTAAACTTGCGATTTTGTATTGTGTGGATGCTACCTGCTAACGTTAGCTGACATTTAGAGGAGAAGCTAACAACACGTTATGTTGTTTGCAGCTATGACGGCAACAGGGTTTTGATTAACGCGTGTCCCTTAATGCCCTATTTATTTACGAGATTAATATAAACTCGACATTGCTGATGGTTAATTTTGATACAAGCTAACTTGTGCTAACGTTCAGCAAGCTAATCACGCTGGCTGATTTGAAATGGAAGTGGGAGGCTTATTAGCAATGCTAGCTTGGTGTCAGCCAGGTGTAATCGATTTGAACCAATGCAAACATAATGTTTTCATTGTCTAACAATATATCTATTTCACGTTAAAGATGTCATGGTAAAGGGTGTTTTCTGTGGGCTGGTTCTGGTAACATTAGCTATCCAGCTATGAAGCTACATGGAACGGCGCGTTAACAAACTAGCAAGCTAACTTAACTGCAACACATACGTTAACATTAGGTTAGCTACAGTCTTCGTAAATTAAAATAGATCAACTTTGACCACAACTTCCATGGCATTTTGACGACAAAACACAAGTTGGTCATGAGCGAGTGGTTATTAATAAAGCATACGCAACCAGACGTAGTACTAACGGTAGACATAACTTACGCTGGGTTAGCCATCTTAATTTCCGCAAAACACGACCGATTTCAACAGCGAACCCATTAATAACGCTCGGAACAGTTTGTAATGTCGTGCCGAATATAATGTTGAAACTTACCTTGGTGCTCAGACATTATGTCAAGCATTGTCGCCTCACCAACAAGGCCCCGATCCAAGAAGCAGAAGCAGCAGGCGAGCTAGCCGGACAGTAGCGGCCGTCGCGCTGTGCCTTCCCCCGGCGTGGCTGCACCTTACCGCCGGGGAACTTCAGCAGCAGCTAGCCAAGGGCGCGGAGGACCGAGCACACTCTTCCTCAAAAACACTCTGGGTCGAAGTTGTAACAATTCCTCCCAGGGTATCCGTAACAACAGCACAAGCAAAACGCCTGTGCTTTACACTGGACGCCACACTAACGTTATTAGCCCTACAAAATACTAATTCCTCTGTTGCTTAACGTGCTGCACTTAAAGCTCCCTTTTCTTCGTCCCTACATTTATATAATCATCGGTGGAAAAATATTGCAAAAACGTAAACATTCCTTCGATCCAGGCGATTATTAGTCAATGCAGGTCTGTAGTGTGAACTTCTCAGAGCAAGTTTCTTCGCTGTAGGCACACAAAACGACTGGAGTTTTGACTTTATTCCGCACAGCCTTCTCCGTGCGCGGCAGAAACCTCTTGAGGCTGCCAGCGCAGTGTTTCCCGAGCGGCATGCTGGGTAACGTAGTTAATGTTGCGTTCATTCAACCCGTAACATGCATGGGTTGCAAAAATGAGTGAACTACATTTCCCTTATCTGAGCTAAAATAATGTAAGGGGAATCCTGGGATATGACGTTTTAAGAATGTACACCAACATGCTATCTAGCGAAACATGCTGGACTTTGTTTGGGCTGAGAAAGCTTTATTTGTAATGATATATGAGTTTCTGCGACGTTAGGAGTTCATCACTCTCAACCGATAAGTATCGTTTCTCTTGCGTTACATTCGTTCGAGTAAAAAAACAACACATTTATGTCTAAATAGGTGGTGAATCAGAGGCATGCTAACTAGCTGTAGCTACCTGGACCTTCTACATTTAATTTATATAACCAAGTACAATGCTGCCTGAATTACTGCAAGGCGTTGATACTGGAGGGCTTCTCGTAATCCAAGGTAAATGTTGTTTAGTCTGTTTTGCTTAGAGTATATATATATATAGTAGTATGTATAACTATGTAAACTGAAACCATAACATACAGTAAAGTCATGTAATTTAAACTTGCATTTTTAGATTCTGCTTCTTATTCTGGGCGACATCTACTGCAGAGCTTCATCAATGCTGCATTGAACAGGTATATTAAGAAATGCATTGTGAGTGACAGTTGGTTATGTATGTACAAACACTTGTTTCTAGGTTATATAGTTGTTGAAAACAAACAAACAAATATATATTTACACCTATCTACCTTCGCCATGTTGTTAATTTAGAGAGGAAGCTGTCCATGTTCTTGGCTTTGAGGTCAGTGAGGAAGAGCTGAAGGATGGATTGAGAGGATCACCTGTACAAAGGTAATTTGATATTATTGTTGACAGAATAACTTTGATTTTATTTAATCCTGTTAGTCCATTATTAAGCAAAGTGCAGGATTGATCATCTGTTGTCTGTCTTCATTTTTGCAAATAAAAAATGGATTCCTGACATTTTTTAGAATGAATTATTAATCAATGATCGTGAAAACCACCAATAGATAGTCAATAATCTGTTTTATTGTCATTTCAGACTCCACTTTCACAATGCTTACACAGACCCCCTTGGCTGGACCGATCACCCAGCTTTCACAGTTCACCAGTTCTGTTTGGGGGAACTTACACGTCTGGTCAAGCAAACATCTCACTCCAAACCGGCTACCTTAGTGATCGACTCTCTTTCGTGGATTTTGAGACATGTCAGCACTCCCGATGTCTGCAGGACTCTTCAGCAACTTAGAAAAGGTCTAAATCATTATCTTCCTATTGTGTGTGTCAGTGTGATGTCATTTTATTGAATGAATGAAGGTTTACATCCAGGCTGTAAAAATCGCTGGTCGTCTTTTTTCTTTCACTATACTTTTTAGAGAAATCATGGTAATTAAAACAAATTAAACTGGTTGATTTATATTATAATTAAGCACAACTATAGACCATGTCATTTTTCACCAAGGGTATTTTCCTGTGTTTTCATTAGGGGGAGCCGTGAGGTCTATTATCGGTCTGCTCCATGCAGACATGCACCAGAGGGGGACTGTGGGAAGTGTATGCCACTCGGCCACTTCAGTAATCACTGTGGAACCTGCAATGAGGGGAGACGAAGCTGTGGCCAAAATAACTAAGCGCTCAAAATCTGGGAAAGTTATTCAAGATGTAAGAATTACTATTTTTTTGTTCTTTCCCTTTTAAAAATAGTTTATTGCTCAGTTCCCTTTTGTAATGGTTTATAATTGGGGTTTTGTCCATAGGAGGAGATTTTCAGAATCAAAGATGATCTTACAGTTGTAGTGCAAAGCAAGTTCAGCAAGGGAGCCAAAAAGACCGACTCTGAAGAACAAGAGGTGCAATAAAACATAAACTTAATCCATCCACACTATATGTGGTTCAATGGAATACAGATGAGGTTTACATTTTGCTGACTGTCAAGTGCCCTTTCTGTTTTTCTATAGACGGACCCAACAGCCAACTTGACATTCAACCTTCGATTATCTGATACAGAGCGTGAGGCCAAACAGAAACTTGCACTTCCTTTTGTTTTCAGCAAAGAAAAGTGAGAACAAAATATAATAATTACATTCCACATATTTTGTTAATTTGTACAAATAACTTCAATGTTGTCCCTTTTTTTTTTTATCTTACAGGAAAACAGCTCTGCTACACTCAGGCCCAGGATCAGGACGAATTCATTATGAGCCGGATGCCAACGATGACTATGACCAAGAGGATCCTGACGATGATCTTGATGTGTAGAATTCGGCCACAAAACCCACTTAAGGCAAAAAGGATCCATGTTTCATGTTATCCCTGCTATTCAAGAAACTTTTTTGTTTACAGTATAGGACTCTTACCGCCATCTCATGGAGTTTTGAGGATATAAAATAATGTACATTGCTGCAGGAACTCTGTATTATGTTTATAAAATGGTTATATCCAAGAGTGTTTTATAATATTATTGAGCGCATTTTTTTCAAAGCACTTTTTTTTTCTTGCTGAATAAAACTATGCTTTATCCAACAGTTACAGCACTTGATTATTATTTTTTTTTACATATTGAAGGTTGTCCATGTTAGGTACAATCTCATTTCCATCTAGTCCATCATCTAACTGTCTCTTTACACAATGATCTGTTGCAGTTGTTCCCAACATTGGAGGTCGGGACAAAATAAATATTAGCTGGGTCACAAGACTATTTCCTAGATAAGGAAAACATACATTCTGTTCACCAAAACATTTTTTATTTCTCTGACTTTTCTCTAAGTTTTGCTATTATCTTTTAAAACCCAAGATATTTATTTTATCTTTTCCAAAACTTCTAAAAACCTACATTATAAATAAAATAAACTGAGGGTTGATAAAGCTGCCATCAGCCATGATTTAAAGTAATATTTGCAAAATCAATTCTTAATGATAACAGTTATTTGTCATCTGTCATTTCATTGTAAATGATGTTGACACATTTGGATTCCTTAATGGGGGACCTCAACTATAGTCAATTAATGCCAAGGTATATGTGCATAACATGATAATACATTTTCAGTGATACCATTTCCAATTTGAAAATACACCACCAAAAAATCTACATGCTCGTGTCAGAGGGGATTATTTATTAGTTTCCTAAACATTTGAAGTAATTATCTGTGTAGAATGAACTGCTAGTGAGCAAGGCCACGTGTCTTCTGACAGCTGTGTAAGCAGACCCTGCCAAATATGACATACTGTGCCTATCAAAAGTTTTCACCCACGCCTACTAAGCATTTTCATGTTTTATAGTTTTACAACTTTCAATCACAGTGACATGAGGTTTATTGACATCAATCAAGCCACTGTTAAAACATGTTACCAGAAATCATGTCATATCTTGTTAAACTGCACTACTCTCACTTAAATGGTTGAGGAAATAATACATAACAGACTCAAACTGCTGATAAAACTGCTTATTTTTCACAGACTTTCAACCCGGCTCACACTCTTGCTCGTACACGTCTGTTTATTTTCCTTCCACGTGGACGTGCTGCGCGCTACCACAGGATTCCTCGCGGAAGTGACGGCAAGGCGGCGATGGCGGCTCGCAGTCTCATTCCGGATTTCCACTGGAATACAAGCCTATTTTAACCGGACCGGTTTGACTTTGTGGAACTTTTCTAAAGCCGTCTCTTTTCGGCCGCCGCACACCGTGAAGTCGCGTTGAACCGGAGCTTGACAACGAGCCACCCCACTGCTTTTTTGGGGTATTTTTGTCCTAGGTTCAAGGTGGTCACCCTGTCGAGCTAGCGGTAGCTCGGTGGATGCTAGCTAACGTTAGTGGGTACACAGCTAGCTCCACAGCTAGCTTGTCAACGAGTTGCGTGCTCAGGTCCACACCGAAGCAGCAGTCTTCGTGCGGCAGCTCTTCTTTAGACCACGTCCACGTTTGTATTTCACAGTAACGATGCGAATGCACCCCATTTAATGCTAATTGTGCCACAAGTGTGCAGAGCGAGGTACTCACACGTTTGCTTGGCCTCATGTTAATTTGAATTGCTAGTTTGGCGGCTGTGGCTAAAAGACGGGTTTTGACTATCACTAGCAAGCAAGTTCCCTTAGTAGTTCTCCCGACAACTTCGGGAAAAGCGTGCTATCGATTGAGAATATAAGATACTGTGGGGTCTTTGCGTGCTCGTCAACATGCTGAAGACCCGGCAGTGTTTACTTGGCATCCGCACTTTTCTCGGCGTAACGTCGAGAATATGGGGCTTCATCATGTACATCCTCAGGAAGCACCTACGAACGGTGAGAAGGGGTTTGAAATATATCTAGCATTTGATTATGTTCTGTTTCTGTGACAAGTGGGCACGGTCTTGCCACGTTGCCATGGGTCTCATGTGCCTAAAGAACTATTTTCAATAGTCCAGCTGGCTCTCAGGAAGCTAGACTACCTGTGTGTCTCACCTGTGCTGTAATCGTCAGTTTCTTTTCATTCATCCATCGTGATTTTGGTCAAATTAGTTATGGTAACCCCACTGTCTGAGTAGTATCAACCTCCCACTCAATACCATCAGTGTCAATTATGTTGCTGCATAATTCAGCAGAAAGGACAAACTTTTAGGATATTGATTAGTCTCAACACATTTAATTTACAACTTAGTTCACAACAACTGCACCAAAATGCACAGCTGCAACCAAAAAAAAACTTCCACTATAAATACATCTAAAGGTTATTTTTACAATTAGTTGATTAACCATTTTTGCTATACAATGTCAAAATGTCAATACCCTAATCATTTTTCAGTTCAAATTGGAATCGCTTAACCATACCATTTGAGGAGCAGCAAGTACAAACCCGCAGGTCACCTTCAATTGCTAACAAATGCCTCTACAATAAACATGGCATTTAAGGTGACAGAAGCTGGCCGCATGTAACTAAGACACTCACACAGGTGTTGTTGAGTCGTTAATAGACATGCATATGTGCTGTAATATGAGTGGACTTCGACTCTAGCGCCATATCAAGCCGACAAAAGCTTGCAGGAGTGTCCCTGTGTGTTGTAATCGTCTTGCTGTTTGAGGTTTGTCTTCAGTTTATTGTGCGTTTAACAGGCCCTGAGAGTGAGTAGAGCAGTCCATGTTATGGCTGAAGTGAGGGGGATTATGTCAGCACAGAGAGCGTACTGTTCCCTCTCTGTTTCTCTCAGTCTCACTCATAGTTAAGCGCTGTTGTTTACAATATGTGATGAAACATAGTCATGATCCAGTGGCCACCAAAGTAGCAAGGAACATAATGAAGGTGATCGTAAAGTAAGCAGGTGATTTGATGAAAAAGACTTGCGCAAGGGAAGGGATGGATGCAAGAGTAGATAACTCCAGTTTCTAGGAACTATTATAACCCAGTTTCTAGATCTAACAATCTTCTTGTTCACTTCTTCTACCGATGCCTGAAAGTAAGGCAGGGCTCGCAGTGTTCCAGTTTGAGAAGGCCGCAATCCATGGAGTAACCTGATCCAAACATTTGGATGGATATAGGCTCTATTGGATTATCAATGTTGGCAGGTGATAATCCCATGCTTGCCACTTCGGGTCAACAGATGAAAATATGGTTGATTATTAATCTTGCATAATGGTTCGGTTTATTATCAGCTGCATGAGACTGTAACGGTGTTGAATCAGGTGTGGAATTAGTGCTGGAAAATCTTGGCTAACAACACATTAGTCCTACTTTAGGGGTTATAGTAGAATTTAAATGGTTTAGTTGATCCGTAAATCTACAGGAAATGAGAACAATTCTGATAATCATTTGTTTAAAGTTGTAAACAAGACTGCATCAACTTGTTTGGTTTTCAGATTCCCAGTTGTTGTAGCATATTTAATATCTGGGAAGCTGGAAGAAGTTTGAATCCATGAAGTCAAGCCCTGAAGCCAAATCATGAATCACAATAATCAACAGTAAAGAAATCAGGTTTGGGTTTGGAGAGCAGGATTATTTGAAATGTCAGTTGTATGCAGCCCTAGTCTGGAGGAAAGAGTCTGAGTTTGCGGGCCTAGGGTCCAGATGGAGACTCTTGTAGGTGCATAGAGTCGGGGGTGAGGTTCCCCCCCAGCTGCTGAGCACCAATAGGCTTTCCCCGAGCGGACTCTGCCAGGCAGCAGTGGGAGGGGACACCGAGGGAGGCCCTGTCCCAAGCATAGGGACCGAGGCTCGGTCAAAGTCACCCTGCGAGTCTCCTTTTCTCAGTGTGCCCCACGCTCTGCTGACACCAACCGACAGCTGGGGGGATAAAAATAGCCCTGTGAAGAAAAGTGCAGAGCCCCGGGGCAAAGAGTGGCACTGGAAAGGTTCCTCTCTGTAGTCAAAGTCGAGAGGGGGAGTCATGGGGTGGGCACGACTGAGTTCTTCCTCTGTTCTCTTGCCTAATTGCTGATGTAAAGCAAAGGGAACCGATTACAAAATAATGGATTGTTTTAAAAGTTGAACTAGAAGTTTTTAGGACCTTTCTGGTAATGTAAGCCAGCACTCTTTTATAGCTCCGCTTAGTTTGAATCGTGATGCTCTCTTTTAATCTCACTGAAGATTGCAGCAATAAACAGGACTTAAAACTACGTATTTCGCTGTCGTCTAGTCCAGTTAAATAAAGTCCAAATGAAGTGTAAGACCTGGTTAAGTTAACTCCAAGTTCAAAGGAAAAAGTCCAGAGAGAATCCAGCCCTGTTTAGGACACTGTAGGCATAGTGTGTTTCCAGTGCTAATCCTCTGCTATGCTCGTGCATACGCAGCCTGATAACAGCTCACTTCGGTTAATCCATGCAAAATTGTAGTCAACAAACTAGGAATGATGGTTTTGATGACAAATATATTAGAGTTTAAAGTAGATCACTGGCCCTTAATACTTACTCGTTTGAGTTATGCCAGTCCAGATTGAACTACTGCAGACCTGTTTCCAAAACTCTTAACACCCATCACGGTTTAATATCACACACAATGAAGTTGGAATTGAAGTCCGACACTTTGAAAAGTCTTTAATCAGTAAAAAGCACACACACAGTTGAAATCTATCCGAGATGAATGAATCTGAACATGTTGAAGTACGTTTGATATTTTGTGTGTTGTTGTAGCCGTTGTGTGTGACTGACTGTTTCCTTCTCCTTGTTCCTCTGCAGATAATCCAGTATCAGACGGTGCGATACGACACTTTGCCTCTGTCCCCTATCTCCAGAAACAGACTCAGTGAGTACATGCTATGATGTCGTCACACGCACGGCTGCACAGCTACTGTTAGACGGTCAAGACTTGTAGAAATTGTTGGCGTAGACATGGTAAATACTGCTTTTAAGATGGAGGAGTTGCTATCAAAACATATTTGCATCAGGAACTGTGAGTGCAAGTTCAACCAGTCTGTCAAGGAAGAAGTTATTCTGCAGAAAAAGTTATCATTTGTGTCATGACTGTTGTTTGAAGCTGTATTCATAAGGAGGATAAGACGGGTGTGTTTTCTTTCTCAGTTGATTCAGAAAACCTGTTTTGCTACATTGGTTTGTTCTTGTCATTTGGCTAACGTTTAGTTCATAAAGCTCGATGAGATGACATTCTTACATCGTTGAAAATGATAGCCAACCAAGTGAAAGTAGTTATTTTGCTGACGACATACATGAATCCCCTCGGGTGACATCAGCACTTTAAAGGAAATGTGAGTTGCACAGCTTTAAATGTGCATGTTTAATGAGATTAATACCTGACAATGAAACAAGAGCAGAGACTTCCAAAACCACATCAATAACTAGGGATGTCCCGATCACCTTTTTTTGCTCCCGATCCGATTCCGATCATTTGATTTTGACAATTTGCCGATACCGATTTTTCCCGATCTTTATGCAATGCATTAAGAGAAAAAAAGGAAAAAAAGCATTCAAGTTGTCCCTTAAGGTTATTTTTTTATTTAAATTGGATATTCTATCCAACATGGATATAGCTTCTTTCTTTCACAGCAGCATTGGATCAGTTCAGTTGTGCAGCATTGGATCAAAACAAAATAAAGCTTATCAGTACTCGTTAGCTTACTGCTACAATTAGACACTGCGCCCTGCCCACTCTGTTGCCAGATTTGAGAGAAATAAGCAACCAGGTCTATGAAAACAAGCCCCAAAGAAGCAACACATACATGATGTTGTGTAATTTGAAACCAAAACTAAGGCCTCAGGATGACTTTAAGACTTGAACATGGTCATTTTTGTTTTGTAACATTGAATAATAATTAAAAAAAAAAAGTATTTAAAAAAAAAAGAAAGAAAAAAAAAACCCGATCCCGATTTTTTTTCTTTTGAAAATCACTTGATCGGATCGGGACATCTCTATCAATAATAATTAATCCGTACCAAGACGTAGTACCGATTTACCCATAAAGAGGCAGCAGACGGGCCATAGTGTTCCCACCTGTAGCAAAAATTAAAAGGTTAAAAAGCAATTCTCCAAAAACCCTTTTGAGAAAAACTGAATTTTAGTGGCAGTTAAATGTCAGGATCCACCCAACATGGTGTGACGAGAAAAAAAAGTATCTTCCTCCTCTGACTCTTAACAGTGACAAGGCGATGGTGGTCTGGAAGTTTAGAGGAAATAAAAAGCGTAAAGGCGGCACTGACACTGGCAGAGCTTCCCTCCTGTCTGCAGAGAGCTCATTCAGAAGCACGCTGTTGACTCGGAGGAAGGATATGATTTCAGTTTCACTCTCCTCGCCTCTCACTCACTACCGCGACCTCAGCTGGAGACCCAGGTCCAGTTTCAAGTGGATGAGTGACTCCTTTCGCTGTAGGTGGCTGGTATTTCTGCTGGTATTGTGGGCGGAACCAAACTAACGGTGGTTCACAAGTCTTCGTGGCACATACCTCTCTCATACCGCTCACATTCAAATAATGAAAAGGCAGCTCCTGGAAGTCCTAGTCCAAAAAACAGCAGCCATTTTTATGTGGTATATATTATGTAGTTTAAGGCTTTTTCAAGTTACCTGATGGCAGTATGCCGAGTTGACTTATGGCACATTTCTGTTTGTATCGTTTTATTTTGGTGTTATAACTTATGTAACCAGAACTCCCTGAAAAGCAGTTTAAATCCTTGGTGTCTTATCTCATAAGTGAAGTAAGTTGATTTGAATTGGATGTGTAGGGCCCAACAGCTGACAGGTCATCATCTTGTGTTTAAAATAAGGACATGTTAAGAACCTGGCACTAACATGCGTCATTTGATTAGAACACATGTGAACAGCTCTAATTACAAGCCTGGATTCACCCAAGAATCATTGAGACACGATCACACACACACATTTGGAGGTGGTCTGCATTCTTTGAGCAGCGTGTCCTCCGTCACATTGAAGAACCACCTATTCGACTTAGCGGAAGTTAGCGCTCAGATGCTAGATTTGTCCACGCCTGTAGCACTGTGTATTTTTAAACATCAGTCATTTCAAAGCGTAGTCATGTCGTAGAAAGACCTCCAAGAAGGAACCTGGTGGTTCAGATCTTATCATGCTGTTGGTGATGTGTCTGTGTTGGTGCTCTGCACAGGACTGAACACCCACCAGCGTGCTATTATCCTCACTTCCTCAGCTTTTATGTTTATGTTTATAGAATGTATCCAAAAATACACATTCTTATGTGAGTTGGTGTACTTAAAGCTGTCCATTTGTGATCGCATCGAAAGGCGCATGTTAATGCTAGATTTTAGACCTAAATCCAACTAAAAGTTTGAAAAGAAGGACATTAGGTAGCCCTCTTTAATTCTCAAGAAGTCATTTCACCTTAATGTTAACCATCTCTTACACAGATGAGTATAGATTGCAACTTTACATATCATGTATGTATGCCTATTATACAGAGTCAACTATTTACATGTGAAACTATGTATTTATTTATCTTTTATATTAAAAAGTAGAGGTCTATGTAATGTCATGGGTGGGTGGTAAAACTGGGTGTGTGGCTGTGACACTTGTAAGAAATCTTCTGTGTCGCTGTGTGCGCAATGTAAAACCATTGTGTTTTTGTACATTTGACCCAAATAATATATACTGAGAATGATGATCAGCCTTTGAACCTCATACATATGAACTGTGCAGTCCTTAACTACAGAGCCTTTCCTTTCAATGCGCTCTAAAAGATATCAAAGGCTTTTCTTATTACTTCACTAAAACACTTGGCAAGTCATGGTTTCTAAATGAGGTCACATGATTACTTGCAGTATTTATCAGCAGATTTCACAGTGGCCATAATTACACTGCATGTTTCCTGTGTAACTCATTTGTGTCAGTAGCCTGGTTTCTTGTGTGCATGTAAATGTACTGAGATGAAGTTGCTCAAGTGTCTATTTTGTGTGAATAACTCAAGATGCAGTAAAGAGGAAGATTCTGGTTCTGGACCTGGACGAGACGCTGATCCACTCTCACCATGACGGGGTCCTCAGGCCTACAGTGAGACCTGGCACGCCGCCAGACTTCATCCTCAAAGTAAGAGCCTTTCAGCCACATCGGTACATGTTGGAACACATCTGCCTTCTAAACTAAACCCTGTCTGTCTTTCTCTCTCTATGCAGGTCGTCATTGACAAGCACCCAGTCAGATTCTTTGTACATAAAAGGCCACATGTTGACTTCTTTTTAGAAGTGGTGAGTGTCCCTCTGTGTTCAGTGTCACTTTAATCCTGTATTAACATGGAAGGGGAGCGCACTGGTCTTTTCCCAGGTCTTTCCCCATGTCCTCACTCACCTTTAACCCCGTCTGCCATCCCTCTCCATTGAACTGCACTCTCATATTACATATTATACAACTTTATCTGCTTTTGCAATGATCCCTCGTGCCTTGCGCAGCGCTTACTGTAACTTGTTGACTTATAATATGGTCTGCCTTCTGTGTGTACACAGGTGAGCCAGTGGTATGAGCTGGTGGTTTTCACGGCCAGTATGGAGATATATGGCTCAGCAGTGGCAGACAAGCTGGACAACAACAGGAACATCCTGAAACGCAGATACTACAGACAGGTACCGCTCTCTATACTGTATTCACACAACATGTATTAATGCTCTGGCTTCTTTGGATCCATTGGCCTATAAAGTGTCTTTATTCTCTCCATTTGTTTTTGTCTCTCTCTTTTTGCCAGCATTGTACATTGGATCTAGGTAGTTATATTAAAGACCTGTCTGTAGTACACGATGACCTGTCCAGTATTGTCATCCTGGACAACTCGCCTGGCGCTTATCGTAGCCATCCAGGTAAGACTACAAGTTATAGTTAAATGTATTCAGTATTTTCTACATTGACTCTCTGAATTCGGTGTGCAACCATCTTTAAAGGGACGTTTCAATAAGCCCACAAATTCCCTCAGTGTGCTATCTTGACAGTTAACCTCCTTAGGGAGCCCTCCCAGGAGGGCATACATGTACCAGGATGCATTGCGCTCAAGTTTCATCCAGGCTTTGGCCATCCATATCCTCTTACATGGCCAATGCAGCCCAAGTGTCTCATATACATATTTAATCAAGCATAACGACGTGTTTAAACGCCTGTTAAACTATTTTTCAGAAGAAGCCCGAGAGCTTCCTAGAGGAGCAGAATAAAATAATCAAAGTAGGCCTTTCATATGACTTTGACACTGTAACATCCATGACGGCGCTATATACAGGAATAACAGATTTTGCAGTTGCCAACACAGCTTTCTCTGTCAATATAGCACGCACTGAGGACTTAATAGGTTCAATCGATTACATTTACCTTCCACAATTTGTGTGGATCCAAAAAGAAGGTGGCAGATCTTCTCTTTTAGGTAAAAAGTCAACACGGTTTCATCCTAAACGCATCAACCTTGTGATGCCGCAGGAACAGGTCACATAATTGAGCGCTTTGTTCTAAGTACAAAGCTCGTATTGTAAATGCTGTAACAGTACATTATATCTGCAGACACTCTAAAGCTCCGTGACCTCTTTAGCATAGCAGCATAAAATCACCAGCATGTCCATCTCACTGACACAACCATTTCTTTTCCCACCCTCCAGACAATGCAATACCCATCAAGTCCTGGTTCAGCGACCCTAGTGACACAGCACTTCTTAACTTGCTGCCTATGCTGGATGCACTAAGGTAAAAGGCATAATGCATGGCATGAAAGCAAATCCATAATGCAAACACTGTCTGTATACAAATGCTCTGGTAATTCAAGTAGTGCAAGTTAATGCCTTTAGGTTGACTGCAGGTAACAATAGTATTTTTTTTTAAAAAGGTGTTGACAAATGCTTGTATAATATTGTAGTTGACAGCATGATTATTGACTATAGATTTGCATCTACATGGCACTACAGTTTCTCTCCAGCTTTTAGGCATACACCTTACCTGTCCATCATGTTGAAACATCAGTATACTCTAAAGGTTATCTTGGGGAAAGTTTTGCAATACAATGTTCCTTGCATATACATATTTGCTTTCTTTCCGATTAGGATTAGAAGATTGATAAAACTCTTATTGTAGTTTGTTTTGTTAATATCAGATGCAGTTAGACCTTGATTAGCACTCCCATCTGGCAACCTGCACTGTAGTCTGAGACGGTCATTCAGTGCAGCTCCACATATTGATTTAGTGTCTTGTAAGTTATAGCGTAACCAGCACGAGAAATCAGTTTTTAATTTTAATCATGTATGGACTTAAAAAATGAGATGCAACATTTGTATTGGTTAGCTCCAGAGGTGGTAAAAAAAAGGCTATTTTTGTACTTCAGAAAGAGCCTGTTGCAACCTGTGTCTAGTCTTTATTCCCAATAAGAAATATAAATCTTATCCAAACTAGTGCTTTAAAAATGTTTACAAAATCCTCCTCCAATGTAGAACTCTATAAATGTGTTTTTTAAAGGTTCTTTATAAATAGATAAAGCTAACAAAAAGTATTGATGTGAAGCTCTTATTTTAATCACCTCTCTCTTTTACTCCTAGGTTCACCGCTGATGTGCGCTCCGTCCTCAGCCGAAACCTCCATCAGCACCGACTCTGGTGATTGGCTGAATCCAGAGGGCGCGGGGCTTGTTGACTGGCCTCTTCCTCTCTGCCGGCCTCCGTCCTGCCCTCCGCTCCCACACAGACGGCCCAGCAGCCCCCTGTGAGCCCCTCGGGCGTGTCCTGAGGAGACGAGGGCTGGGGTGACCGCCTAACATGGGACGAACAGTACGGGATCACCATAGCCCACAAAACTACTGAGGAGGGTGGGGAGGGGCCAGCTTGTATTTTTTTTTTTTCCTTCTTCTTGATTCTTTATTTGTATTTTTTTTCAAAAGAAAAACGGAGCCTCTCTGCCTTATTGCTCCTGATACTGACTGTGCGTATGGAGGTGAGCTTGTGAGTCNCTCGGGTCGGAGGGAGGGACACCAGACGGTCCTCGGGGGTCTCGGGTCGGCAGGAGGAGGGTTCGTCAGAGACCCACGACAGGTACATGCCGTCCCTATAGGAGAGGGTGTACCTGGTATAGGTTCCGGTCGTAGTGGAGGTGTAAACCAAGGTAGAATTTGTACCTGAGTTGGTTTTTCCAGTTTATATTGCACTGACACATAAACTAAAGGTACAAACAATTTGAGAGAATATTTTTATTGTAAATTTTGATCAAAAAATAATATTTACACAAGCCAATATTTAGACCTTTGTAATTGACGATATCTAGTAAAGATTATTTACGGAGTTGAAACGACAACAGTGTAAGGTCTAGTGTTTCGTAGTTCGTTCCACCTCGTCGAGAAGGGACAAGGTGGGAGTCCAGGAGCCACACTACGTCGACAAGGGACGAGGGTGGAGTCCAGGAGTACACCCACTACGTCGACAAGGGACGAGGGTGGGAGTCCAGGAGTCACACAACGTCGACAGAGGGACGAGGTGGGAGTCAGGATCCACCACTACTCGAGAAGGGACCGAGGTGGAGTACCGGAGTCCACCTCTACATCGAGAAGGGACGAGGTGGAAGTCCAGGGGTGTCCACCACAACGTCGAGAAGGGACGAGGTGGAAACCCAGAGGTACTATAAAGTGGTCACTCGAGTTCCAAGGACAGGGACCAGCGACGAAGGTGTCGAGCTTTACGATCGGAGAGAGACGACAAAGGACGAGGATCAGGACTGAGGACGAGTATGTCGGTTTGTGACACTGGAGATTTCATGACGGTAATGTGCAGACACTTCACTCCACACTCTCCAAACCCTGTCGCCTGTGACCTGTGACGGTCATGTCCTAACTCATCAATTGATGTAACGATGGTTTCCTCGTTACCACCCTCCTGTATTTGTTTTATAGGGGGGGTGGTCCTCCGTACCTGTGACCTGTGAACTAAATACATATTATCAAGACACACTATATCAAACTATATAATAACATATATATACTATTCAAATACTAAACCATATATTCAAAATACATTACAAACACAATACTGATACTTCTACAAATACAAATACAAACAATTTTGAGTAAATCCTCACAATAAAACACTTATGAACCTGAATACTATATAACGTAAATAAGAATACGAATCGAAAACGTACTCAAAGAACAAAAAAAGATGTAAATACATTCAACTATAAGATGAAAATTTTATTTCCAAACACACATATCGCTCACATGCCACACTGACCAGGTTATTAACTCACATGCACGATACAATCCTATACAAAGATATCCAAAAAGAGAACAAAAATACACAAAACAAATTTTCTTTACAAGAACCTATGATAATATTGTGGTTATATGGAGAATCAAGTATAGTCTTACATGTCGTACCAATGTAAACATTACGATAAATCAGGTGATCGTGGGTTTGGTCTCAAATAAGAAGACGGTTATGTCCAAAGGTATAACCAATGACACAGGGTTTTGATAGGGAATATTTCTTTATTATTTATTAACACTGACACATTAATTTGACTTTCTATCAAACATGGAGACAGTTTATACAATAATCTCTTAAATATATTATCAATTATTTTATCGAATTATCAATCGACGTATTGTGAGAACACGAATAATACAAGTTGGTTCCGCGCTATGAAACAACCAGACCAACATTATTTAAACAGAAGCACATATATTATGCTACACATGATAGTCGATGATCTTCCTTTTGTCCCTCGTTAACAGTCTTAGCAAAGAGAAAGGTACCGTGGAATAAGGCCAGTAAGATACAGAACTTCAGTTACACCTCTCTCATGTAATCATGAGAAACGCTGAGGGACCAAACTGTAACCTGTACGTACGGCGCAACGTTTGATCTACAAACAGTAGAAATTTTTTTAGCAGTTACATATACTTTTCAGTTGCACAAGGTACACTTTGCAACTATTATATTCCTGATACTTGTATGCGTAGTGATCTCTGTTCTGAGTGTGACGTGCTGCGCGGTCTCAGGCCTTCACGTAGCATGGATTGCTACAGTGTAACCAAGGAGACGTGTTCATATTCTCTTATCTATTCCCTATATATTGTGTGACTACGGACATAGCACAAAATCGTCAGTAAGGTACCAACAAATAGGTATGGTCGTTACCCAGACGAGTCAAGAAGCAGAAGGCAGACTACGTTTTCAATCGTAGTCCATCTCCGACCTAGTTCAAATAGATGGATCGTTCGTGCAATCAATCGCAATGCGGATCGGAAATAGTAAACATAATACGGAATTGTACTTTCATATCGTAATTCATTGGCGTTTTACAACTTGTCATTCTATCATCAGTCTATAAAAGCCACTTGGGAAACTTCTCATGACAGTTGTGGCCACACTATAAGATTATATGTGGTAAATTCCGGGCCCCCCTCTTTACGATTGCGATGAAATGGAGCCGCTAGAAAACATGAACAGTACGATAGACGTGTAATTTGTACTTTTTCAGTCCGCGTCAAGTCTCTCCTAGGTTTCTTCCGTCCGTCCGTCGAAACGTACTGTAAAAAGACTGCAACAGTAAGCAACACCACTACCACTCCCCCCCATGCAGGTCTAGGAGTGACAAGTCGTTCTGCCCGTCATCACTGCCGGCTAACAACCCACTGCACACAACAGCACGTTTCTGGTCTCTACATCAGTCAACTGGCAAAGTGTGTTTCTTTTACACATGAAGTGTCAAAAATGCTGTCGTAAAAATAAAAAAAACGCTAACGAGTGTTCCATAGAAGAATTAACTGTTCTCTACAGTATACACCATTAAGCACCTAGTTACAGTTTGCCCCTAGCTTTCTAATAGAAATGAAGTTATGGTATTAAAAAATGCTTTATTCCCAGGGTACCTCCAGGTGGCCTATCCTCGGAAGCGGTGAGATACGTCTTCGGGTCGCGGATATCTATCTTCTCAATGCTGTCGCCTTCAGGTTTTTGGTTTTGCCAATAGCAGTGCACCAGTACGTCGCTCCTAGCAAGGGCCTTCAGTACCGTCGTTACACTTACGTTGACTTATTGTCCTCTATCTTGATGCTAAAAAACCATATAAAAATCACTTACTTCCAAAACTAAACGTTATAAAATATGTTGTTTAGATACACCATACATAATTGCAGTTAACGTACAGAAATTTTTTATTTTTATCTTAAACAGATTACAGTAATTCACTAACTTCATAGTCCTAAGTCACACTTGTGTGATCAAGAAGGTGTACAACATCCGAAATTGTCACGGAACCAATTTCTCGACAACGAAACATCATCGAACCTTAAGACAATTCTTGGTTATAACTAGAAGAATTTAACATACCAATCAGAGCTCGTCAGTGGAAAGTCAACTCGAAGTATATAAGGATCTCCACTTCGCTGATTTGCTTACGAAGACTCTAGCGTCTCCAATCTAAGGAGAGGAGGTGGTAAAACGACATCCTAACTCTAGTACCCCATAAACGCTCAATCCCAGGGCTAGCGCAGATTAACTACCTGTGTTCTACATAGATTTACTAATACTCGTCTGCAAACACGAAGTCATTTCTCCCTCGGCCACGACCTCGACGACCTCGACGACGCCCCTCAGATCTCTCCACACACTTCCTCGTGTTTACGAAGATGCCCTTTAAGTCTAACCATCAATAAAGAAAGTGGGTAAAAGAATTTTAAGTACCATCAAGTCTTAGGGTACCATCCTAACTAGCATGTGTATAACTTACCAATAGATCTCACCTGTAAGATCCACACGCTGTGAGAAATCCGAAATAGCTCCCTCTCTTCTCCACCGCTCTTACATCGCGCCCGGTGGTCCCACTTCGATTCCGTTTTCCTGACACGACCGTCGTTCCGCGAATACGCGATGCGCAGGCAATCGGTTCGCGCCCTCACACCAAACCTACTACCTACCACACTTACACCACAACAAACATCCTGTGTATAGGTAACGTTAGTAAGCCTTAGAGTTAATTCGCTAACACTATAAAAGGCGGGATAGTACGTCAAACAGACACGGAAAGGAGGCACAACAGTGACCAAACGACACGCGAGGATCAGCGGTGGTACCAAACGACACGACGGACCGCCTACGAGTTTAGCGAGGCTCTTTCCGTTCAAACCTATACCATGCCGTAAGCGCCGTGGGACGACTCGTCTTACCTCTTACACCGTAACGCTACGACCATATTTTTTTACCTGACCGGTCAGGTTCGTCTCTCGGTGGGAGGGTGGGTGCGGAATCCCGTACGATAAAATCCCATATTTAGCATGGAACAGTGGTACCCGTACATCCCCGACCGTAAATTGCTTCTGGTCGTCTGTCTGATAATTTCTGGTGATTCGCGCCCATAAAGGGGGTCGACACCAGTGAAGTCGGTCAAGGCTAATACCATGGTACTTTGTGGACGGTTAACACCGGAAAAAGTGTTTTGGCTGCTTGTGTGGAGCGTTGGAAAGATGGTTTACCCAACAGACCTCTTTCGAAGTTAGATCACTAGAAACAAGTTATTGGTTTGTACATGCTCTCCTCCCTTCCGTCTTTTTTGTCTCCAACTTGAGTCCCACGTCCAGCCTCAAATCCAATGAGGCCTGTCCAAAGAGAAGCCGGAGTGTGAAGAACATTAGGGGGGGGCAGACCTACGATACACTGAGCTTATTCACTATCTTAGGTGGCACCAGTGAGTCGAGTTGGGTCTGTTCTCTCTCCTCTCACCCCCTAACATTGACCTTACAAATAGTGATGACTACTGGACACCACGCCCCTCATGAGTATCCGTTGGTGAGAAATAAACCTTTTTACCCATGTTAACGGAAACCCCACGGGACTCTAGTTACAACACACACATAAACCAAGAAAATGGGTAGACTTATACAATAATTCCGTTGAAGAAACGAGAGTAATCACACACTGCGCATGACTTCGGTGTGACGAATACACGTTTAC